ATGCCACTCCATGCAGCTCTGAGGGCTGGTGGGAGGGAAGTGCTGTGGTTCTGGTGGCACTAAGGGGTGACTGCCCTTCTGCCCTTGGCCCCACCCCTTCTGGGGCCTGGCTCTGCCCTTCTGGGGCCCAGATCTGGGACTCTTCCCACCTTCCTCAGAGTACATGGTGGCTGTTAGCCCCATTGTCTGAAACTGAAAGCAAAGGTGAGCTTCATATACTTGTGTTCTGTAGGTCTATAGAAACCCACTGAGACTGCAGTGTCTGACGAATCTGATGACAGTATTGTGGGCTTTCCACCTTCATCTTTATCAGCTCTAACAAGGCCATAGCTCAGGATGGTGAGCTCCACAAAAGTCCATCTACTGCTCTACTGCAATGACAACTTGTAACTGCATTACCACCATAAACATTAAGCTACTGTGTATAGGTGGAGTGGGCCACCAGAGCAGGTGATAGCACTAGTTTACCATTTTGATGAGCTGTCATGGCTGGCCCTCGGACATCATCATAAGACCTGCCATCTGTAATCAGGATCATTATCTTCCTCTTGTTGGGCTTGGATTTGCTAAAGAGCTGTTCAGAAGCGTAGGTGATGGCTGCTCCAGTGCTGGTCCCTCCACTCCAGTAGTTGACTCGCTTAATAGCATTCAGAACATCTTGCTTAGTGCTGTGCTTGTCAAATCCAAACTCCAGCCTCTGCTCATAGGTGTACTGCACTGCCCCGACACGGGTGTCAGTGTCTGAAATCTCAAATTCTTTACTTATGTTGGCTACAAATTGGAGGACAGTGCGGAAATTGCCAGTGCCAACGCTGCTGGAACCGTCAATTACAAAGCCAATGTCAGCTGCATTTAGACACGTCTTGCTGCAAGCCAGCCGATCTGTGTCGCAGACACGCTTCACCAAGTTCTGGACTACCTTGCGTAGGTTGAACCAGCTTGGCACATTAATGGAATAGAAGCCATTTGTTCTGCACACTGCCTGCAGAGAGAGGCAAATACATGTGTCAAAAGGCAGTTATTGAACACTGGATGTAGTTTATAGTTAGGCAATCAAATTCTGCTACCTTCCTGAAAAAAAGCCCCAAAACTGTAACACGAAGGCTGTGTCTACACTGGGCCACTTATTCCGGAAAAGCAGCCTCTTTTCCGGAATAAGCTGAGAGCTGTCTACACTGGCCCCGTGAATTTCCAGAAAAGCTGTGACGATTTACTGTAAGAAATCTGCTGCTTTTCCGGAAAAACTATGCTGTTCCTGCTCGGGCAAAAGTCCTTTTTCTGGAAAACTGTTCCGGAAAAGGGCCAGTGTAGACAGCACAGTAGTCTTTTCCGGAAAAAAGCCCCGATCGCGAAAATGACGATCGGGGCTTTTTTCCGGAAAAGCACGTCTACATTGGCTACAGATGCTTTTCCGGAAAAGCAGCCTGCCAGTGTAGATGCTCTTTTTCTGGAAATACTTATAACGGAAAACTGTTCCATTTTAAGCATTTCCGGAAATTCATGCCAGTGTAGACACAGCCGAAGTGTGTTCAACCAAAGTACTAGGCTTCCTGCCCCTGCATTTATAAAACATGATAGAGCCATCACTGTTAATTGTCAAAACATTTCACTAGGAAATTCCACCACCCACTGGGTTTTGTTTTGTTCGCAGGTTATATAAGAATTAAACCAAATGCCCAAACTACACATTCATATTCAGATCTCTTCATTCATGTAGAGTTCTAATCTGTACAAAATGGCTGCCTTGGGGGTGCCTTGTTTGACTAGCAATGGCTCCAGAGCACATCCTCACCAGTTAAAAGTAAAAATAGGCGGTTTTGTCCACTTGTCAGTCCTGCAAATCTGGCATAAGTCAAGCTAGGTTCTTTCTGGCTCTCTCCCTCCCAACCAGTAACCAGGGTTATGAAACTGAAATGAAGTTTAAAAAAACAATCAGTCTTCCATGGTTGTTGCTTCTCCAGTGCAGGGGAAGCAACATTTCTTAAATGTTTACAGTTTTGGCAGTAAATTTAAGCTGTGATGATGCTGAGCGCACATAGCGTGTGGGGGAAAGCTGTTCCAGAACTAAGAGGAGAGTTGGGGAACTTGTGGTGAAGGAATGCATTGTTGGCGCATGGCGGGGGCAGGGAGAGAGGGTGGAATGTGGAGAATGTTGTGCGTAGAGGAGGTAGAATCAGAAGTGTTGTGCACTGTAAAAGCTTTAAGATGTTAATGTTGCCTCTAACTTGTTGAGAGCCTTGGAGGAGCCGGATCCTGTGTCTGCCCTTTATCCTCCACATGAAAGGTGGGTGCAACTGTTTCTGTAGTACTGTCCTCTTGGCTGCATTTGGTGTCAGCAACTCTCTCTCACAGCAGCTCTAAGTTAGTTCTGTACACACTGGTTTAGGCTTCACTTCATAGTCTCACCATGTTTGTTTTCTTCTCTCTTGCTGCTCTGTTTATGTTCTGACCCTGCCATATGCAGCCACAAAATAGAATAATAGGACTGGCAGGAACCTTGAGACGTCATCTAATCCAATCCCCTGCACTCAGAGCGGGGCAAGGTATTATAGATTCTAGACCGGGGTGGCCAACCCCTAACAGGCAAAGAGCCAAAACAGTTGTGCATATAGCGCAAAGAGCTGGAGGAGGATAAAAGTTGTTGAGCAAGAGCAAAAACAAAAACAAAAAACACTGCCCCTGTAAGAAACGTGGTTAAAGGCTTTTTGGCCACATCAGGCTCCCCCTGGCCATCACCATCTTGAAGACGCCATTTGAATGGTCGCGCTGGATGGCACAGGGAGCTTGGGAGGCGGGGGCCAGATTCGGGGGTGTGGGGACGACGCACTTTCAGAGGGAGAGGGGGAAGAGCCGTATGCAGCTTGTGAGCCACGGGTTGCCCATGGTTGTTCTAGACCATCCCTGACAGGTTTTTGCCTAATTTGCACTTAAAAATCTTCACTGATAGAAATACCACAATCTCCCTAAGCAATTTATTTCAATGCTTAACCACCCTGACAGAAAGTTTTTCCTAATGACTAACCTAAATTTCCCCTGCTGCAATTTAAACCCATTGCATCTTGTCCTGTCCTCAGAGGTTAAGAAAAATATTTTTTCTCCCTCTTCTTTTTATGTACTTGAAAACTATTATCTGGGCCTCTCCCAGTCTTCTCTTTTCCAGACTAAACAAGCCCAGTTCGTTCAGTCTTCCCTGGTAGGTCAAGTTTTCTAGACCTTTCATCATTTTTGTCGCTCTTCTCTGGACACTCTCCAATTTGTCCACATCTTTCCTGAAATGTGGCACCCAGAACTGGACACAAGTCTCCAGTTAAAGCCTAATCAGCACGGAGTAGAGCAGGATTACTTCTCATGTCTTGCTCACAATATTCCTGCAAAAACATCCCAGGCTGATGTTTATTTTGCCAACTTTGCCTTCCTGTTTGGGCCCCCTGCTCTCTATCTTCCATGCCAGCTCTGGCAGGATCATAGAGCCTCACTGTAGTTTTGCCCCTTTAAAAAAAATAAATGAAAACAAGACGATAAGCCAATCAAATGAAGCCTGGAGACAGCCCAATTAATGCCATTTAGGGCTTTGAAGCTCATAGGAAATATATTTCATGGCAGAAGGACAGCGGAAAATGCCCAAAATCATCTTGCAGGTGGCTCAGAGAACAAGTCGCTCTCTGAAAATGCTGCCTAATTTCCATCCTGTTTCCTGAACCCTGGCTGGCTTGGCACGTCACACTTCATGTCACAATATCATGCCAATTGGCCCGGCAGTAGTTTCATATTGACATGAGTATAGGTTGCCTATCTGAAATGGTTTAAGAGTATTTCATCCATAGGTAGTTGGCAGGGATGCCCTCTCATTCCCTGGGTAACCAGGGGGATCATCTATTTATTTATAAAAAAGTAACAGACAATATACTTCAAACAACTTTACTGAACAAACATTATTTATTCTGATTAGCTGAATAATTGTTACGCACCCATGGGATATGATTTCTCATTTAGACCAATCTCACAAAAGCAGGATGAGCTCCCAGGTGTGTGTGGTATATGCATTATTTTTATGTTGCACCAAGTAGCCATGACTTTATAAGAACGAAATAGCATCACACAAATGGGGTGATGTATCTCCATGGATGGGTGTTACTGGTTTTCTTTTCCCTCTTCCCCATAACAGACTGTCAGGAATTAGATCTGTAGAATATGTCCCTCCTATGCCCAATATAAAAACAATTGTCTTGCTGAAAATATTGCAGCCCAGATGCAGCTAGGAGAGTAGGAATGGGCTTTCCTGACAGCTAGGCCGATAAAATCCTGGAGCCTTCATATTCCACCTGTTTGCAGGAAGGAAACAAAACTCTTTCAGGAACCTATCTGGCTCCTATTACTGTTGTATGTGAACATCTCACAGTCTTATGTATTTATCCTCTTAATGCATCTGGAAATAGTAGTATTCACAAGCTGCAAATGGAGACAAAGGCACACGATTGTGGGCTGCAGGCAGCTTGAAGAGAAGGGCATAGATCGCATCCCTCACAGTGGCATATCAAATTGGCTAGTTGAGGCAGCTCTCTGCATAGCTTGTTGGCTTTTGTGGAACCCATTCTGAGGTGGCTCTCCCTGCCCATGGTACAAAAGGAGTCGGCACCTAAATCAGGATTTATGCCTCCTATTGTTCCAGTTTTTCTAGGTGCCTAAAAGCTAGGCATTGTGATGTGGAGCACTGTAATTCTTAAGTCTACTTGTGCATGCAGACCAGAGAAACTAAGGCTTTGTTGTCCCTTAACAATTTAAAACACTGCCGTGAAAGTGTGGCCACTGCTAGAGCTCTGCGTAAACCTCTTCGGTGACAGGAGTAGCTAACGGTGCAGGAAGTTCGACTCCCTGTACGGTAGCCTGGTTCACACTGGCTCTTTAAAGTACTGTAGCTTGCTGTGCTCTGATGCTTGTATGGGTCTGTTTCAGACCTCTGAGTCAGAACTGTACAGTGCTGTTAAGTGGCAGTGTAGATTTGGCCTAAGTGACTTTTCCGAGGGCATATAAGAAGTCTGTGGTGGAGTAGGGAAATTAACTGAGGCTTTCCAAGCCCCTGGCTAGTGCCCAATGCACTATAATTTATATATAAATAAGTCTGAGTTATGGTTCTTACTTCATATGGGAAGCATGCTCAAGGAAGCATTTAAGAAAAAATGTCCTGATAACCTAAACAAGGGTCAAAGAACGGCTGTTATGAGTGTCTATTGACTGCTATACTTGGTAACATTTTAAAATTTAGAAATGTGTGTTTTCATAATACCCAAGGGATTAGTTTTCTGCAAGAACTCATTAACAGCTGTTGATGAAACTCTATTTTAAAATAGAGCCACTTTCAGGTAGCACTTGAAAAAAGAAGTCTTGGCATTTTTTAAATACAAGTTTTCCCTTTCCAATGCTATGACAGATTTACACCATCTAGAGCAAACACAAAACACCTTCAAAATTGGCTGCTAACTTACATGCCACACCATGGTTCAGTCCAAAACAGTTTGAAATTGGTAAGCTGTTCACACCTTGTCATAACCTCACCCAATTAGAGATTTATAATAGAAACACTAAAAATATTAATAGTGCAGGGGTCAAAAGTTTTGCTTTCTGCTGAATGATCTAGGAGCAGGGCTTGAATAGTTTTACTGATGCTAGAAGTCTTTTTACTAAGACTATGTTAACACTGGGAAGGGTGCTGTTGATATGCAAAAGTCACCAAAAGTGAAAACCGGTCAAACCAGTTTTCTGCCTCTCATTGTCGACATTTCACGGCCACCTTGCTAGAACCCCGTCAACAGATAGAGCAAAGCGATGTGGGAAAACAAATCTGATCTCTGCACTTCTTGGGATTCCCTCCTAGCTCTGTGAGCTCTCGGTGCTGAGGAATGTCAAAGCAGCCCAGCAGTCTCTCCTGCCCTCCCCCTGCAGTTGCAATCTGCCTGCTGCTGTGTTCCTAGCAGGACAGAAGGGGAGCGTTCCAATGATTTGCTCTTTGTTTTCCAAATGGAGCAGCTCACTCAGCTATCAGATACATTCCAGAACTTTGAAAGGGGAGGGGCGCATATATGCAGGGCAGCGGGGATCACAAAACACTGAGCACAGCCATCGGGGCAGGCGTTGTGGGATACTGGTGGAAGCCAGTTCTTTCAACAAAACAAACAGCAGAATCCACAATGGCTCTTTGTCCACAATAATGGGAGGGGAAAAGAAAAAAGAATCTCTTGTGGGGCTGGAAAATTTTTCTTGATAAAGGTGGGTGTTTTTCCCGACAAATGTCACATTGCAGCGTAAACGCTTTCACTGTTATATCACCAAAAGCATTTTTTATGACAAAACATGCCAGTGTAGACAAGGCCCAAGCCACAGATGTGTTTCTAGCATGAGTAGGAAATGGTCAACTGATCAGAAATTGTTCGTGTCACCTCGTGTGTTAATCTCATTTCAAATATTTGTGTTGTTTGTTTGGTGGTACCTCTCAATCAAAGTTTAAGTAGTTTATTTTTATCTACTTTGGTCTATTTTGTCTTCATGGAATACAGAAAATTAGGAATGAGAAATGGAAAAGTCTTATGCTGTTTGGTTATCTGTCTACAGTTTCCTGCCAGCACAGAAAATTGTGGCTCTCAGCCTGTTTTCTAACACTTTGTCCAGTCTATACATATATTTTACAAGACCAAAATGCTGGGGCTCTCACCATTCCCCCTAAGAGACTATTTCATTGTTTAAGAGATCTCACTGTAAAGTAGTTTCTCCTTATATTCCTTAGCTAATAATGTTACTGGTTCCTCATTCCAGCACTCCTTTTCAAGCAGAATGTATTAAGCAAACCTCAGCCCTGAGACTACTACATGTTTGAATCTGACTAGAGCATTGCTGCCCATTGCTATTCAACATTCCAGTGTTAGATTTGATAGTAATTCTAACAGGAAAGCTGTAACCTTAAGAAGGGGGAAAAAACAGGAGGGAGCTGGGAGGAGAAGGTGGAAAGAGGAAGAGAGAAAAAGGGGCTTTATAGAAGATGGGCTCACATCAAACTATCAGATCCAAACATGCTGGGAACCTTACTACCTTTCAGGCCTCGGTCCAGGATTTGCACTCTGAACACACATCTAGTTTATGTACCCCATTCCCCAGTACCTTGTCCACAAAGTTGGGCTCAATAACATTCTGTTTTTCATTTTCATCGGCTCCTTCCATGGTGACAAAGAAAATGTTGATTCCAGATTCTCGCGCCAGCCTAGAGGCCTCCTCCACCTTGTCAGTGGGCCAGCCATCCACCAGCACTACAGCCACGTTGGGCGCGCCGCCTCGGTTGCCATTGGTGTCCAAAAAGAAGTGTTTGTTCACAAACGAAAGTGCCTTCCCTGTAAGAGGAGTGGATTGGAGGATGATGCCCAGTAACCTGTCTCTTTTAGACATAGGAACGTGGAATGCTTTAAGACAGTGTTTCTGATCTAGAGCTAGAGACCAAATTCCAGCCCTAAAGCTCTAGGAAGGGGAGCATTAGCAGGTAGAGTGTAGAGGCAGCATAGAAGCTGAACAGGAAGAAGAACCACTTGCAATGGTCCAACTTTATGCCTTGCTCTGGTTCCAACATCAGTGAGAACTTCTCCCTTTCTCTGCTCCTCCTTATTAGTGTGGATGAGTCAAGAGAGCAAAAGCCTCAGCTATGACGGGGGAGCTGCTGATGAGGGTAAAGGAAAAGAGTGACACCCCAAAATTCTCAGCTTTCCTGAAAACCAAACCCTCTCATGGATGAGAGTTTACATGTAATATAGTGTAATGTAAATGTAATTCAAAATCTTTTACTTAAGCTGTGCTCAAAATCTCACTGACTAATGCACATAAGATATTATTAAAAGGTCTTTGCTAGCTCTCTTCCCCTCAATCAGTCCCATGTAGGGTGCAGAGTAGACCCCTGCTAGGATGATAGTAATACATCAATCACAGGGTGCCAGGGCATGCTCTGGACTCTGTGGTCATCAGCTGCCTAGTTTAGTTATGCGATGCTACATTATGCGATGCTGCATCAAGCTTGTTTTCCCACTAGAACCCCTACGAGGTTGTTTGCCCACATCCTATGGACTTTCTCATGCTAAGGAACAGCAGATAAGCTACCCACAGCCTACATACCAACATTGGAAAGTCCTCCTTTCTGTAGAATTTTCTCTATGGCATTTTTCACATCCCTGGAGTTCGCATGAGTTTTGAGGTTAAATTCTGTAGACGGATCGTCACTAACATGTAAAAAAGAAAAAAAAAGTGGCCATCAGTTTTTTGCAGTTTGCAGCATGGTTCTATTTATAATAGTTTAAGTAATGCCCCAAGGAGACGGAAGAGGAAGTTTGCCGGAAAGGCAGTTCACTACATAACCACAGAGAAGACCTTTAAAAAGAAGTGTCTAGTGTTTCCTATATAAACATGTAGGCACATCCCTGTAAAACACAAACAATCTAGACATACGAATGATAAAGTAACAGGTATTGGTGAAGACATACCAATAGACTCAAACTTTTTTTTTTGTTGGCTGTGGACATCTCTGAATTCATTTAGTGCAGCAGTGGTTTTCAACCTGTGGACCACAGATCCCTGGGGAGCTGCAGCTTACATCTAAGATTTCCAAATGGGTCTGCACCTCCATTTATAAGTTTTTAGGGGTCCGTGAATGATAAAAGGTTGACAATCACTGTAGGAGAGGCTACTCTCTTGTTTGTGGTAATGGTGTAACAGAGAGAGACAGAGAGTTTTAATTATATGAATTATAGGGCTTCTCTTCTTTGAAAGCTATTTTTAGATAATTTAACAGCATGCATTTAAGGAAAAACTTGGTATGTAATTTTGTTTTAAACTCTCCTGAACTTTTAGCAGCAGGAGAGGCAACAGTATCTACCTCAGTCCATCCTATTTCTGTGTATCTCTGGCAATCTATCCACTTAGATTTTGTCTTCCCTAAACAAAACCTTTTTTTTTCTTCCATGTGTTAACTAACAAGTGTAAGCATATGACACAAATACATTTGCCTTTTCACACTAGGATTTAACCACAGGGTAGCTAAAGTGCTTTTAAAAAAAACTACCTTTTTTTCCTCATTGGATGCACCCATTGTAGAAGCTTTGCCTTTTCATACTGTGCTGCTATTGGTATGTAAATTAAGCCTCAAAGCCAATTGTGCACAAATCTCAGTAGTTTACAATTACTTTCTGCTTAAGAATACTACCTCATTTATTGCAGTGTTTTTTATCACTTTGTTATTAGTTAGCATGAAAAGGAATACAGAAATGTAAAGCTAGATGGGACTCTTATGATCATCTACGCTAATCTCCAGTATCTAAACTCTGGTCATCTGAAGAAGTGGGCTGTGCCCACAAAAGCTCATGATACCATCTACATGTTTTCATAGAACCATAGAGCTGGAAGAGACCTCAAGAGGTCATCAAGTCCAGCCCCCTGCCCTAGGCAGGACCAATCCCAACTAAATCAACCCAGCCAGGGCTTTGTTAGTCTATAAAGTGCTACCAGACCATTTGTTGTTTGTTTCTCCGGTATCTTGTTTATTTCTATGTTCAATCTTTCAAGATAGCCAAGTATATTTTCCCCATACACTTCAGTCTCATAACATCCCGAATTTCCTATGTTGAATTTTATATTGTTTCTCTCACTTAGAATAGATTTAGTGTAAAAATAAATGAAAATAGGCTATGGTCACTCCAAAAAGAGTCGGGGTTAGTGCAGTTGTGACCTTGTACAGACTGAGGTAGAGCCAGACATTATGGGGAGACACTCTTACCCATATTGAACAATACCCATGAGAGGACCAGCTATGCCAACATCCAGAGCTTGAGCGACATCACTGAGAAATTGTTTTTGGATCTGAAAACGGCGTTTTCCGATGCTCCAGCTCCCATCAATCAAGAAGGATAAATCAACTTTGCAGTCTGAGAGAGGAAATAGCAATGAGAGGCTTCCTTGTTTTTACTATTATAATTATAAAATAAAGCAATTGGGGGAAATATGCCTTACTTACATTTTGGTGTACAGTATATATAGAGCAGTATAAACAAGCCCTTGTCTGTATGAAATCTTTAGTTTGCACTGACTTTGCTGGTGCTTTTTATGTAGCCTGTTGTAAAACTAGGCAACTAGCTAGCTGGATCGATGTACCTTCTGGTACGTGAGCCTCTGGTTGAGAGACACTGCATTAGAAAAAGTGACCCTGTTGTGATAAAGTTACTACAGGACCTAGGAGGCCAAAGAGGGTAGACAGAACCTAAGCTTTGCTGTCTCTGAGCCACGGCTACACTTTACTTTCACCTTTGACACCGAGCCTGATCCGCACAGTGTCGGAACATGAGTATGCAAATGAAGCCCAGGCTATTTAAATCCTGGGCTCATTTGCACTTCCAAAGCGCTTGATTTGCATCCCTCTCTCTGCAGAGGGATCCAGTCTAGACACAGCCAAACAGAGTGGGGGGAGAGGAGGAGGGAAAGGGGGCTGGGAAATTTGTGAGCCCAGCCAAGGGCTTCTATCTCAGCAAGAGTTATAGTTCTATAAACCCTCCCTACTCAGGGTTTGCTTTCCTTTTCTTTCACTCCTCACTTTAAGGTCTGATCCAAACCCCGTGGAAGTCAGTGGGGGGGGGGGGGGGGGAAATCTCTTCCCGACTCTTCAACAGGCTCTGAGCCAGGTCCTTTCTTAATTGTGGGTGAGAGTTTCCAGATGGTCTTTGTCTACTTCTTTCTCCCCATGCCTAGGAGGTGTCTCTCCTTTTGCTGCTGTGACCACAGGACCCATTTTCTGAATGGTCCCTCCTCCCTCCAGTAGATCAGCTTCTAAGCCAGTAGAGCCCCAATTCCAGGAGCCAGACCTGCTCAGTCAGTTATTCCAGACAAAAGGAGTGCTGTTATTAGCACCCAGTTGCTTAGCCTCATCCCAGGCACAGCAAATACATGGTGTGTGTTAGTAAGTGTCCCCCAAGCAGGCTCCAAATTCTGTGTCTGATGCCATACTACAGAGCTATGGCCTGAGAAATTCCCATGACACAATATTTCATACAGCCAACATCTCACTATTCTGAGGCTGGCAGTATGCTTCCCAGCTTGTGTAGACAGAGGCAGGCTAGCTCTTTTTTAGTGAGTAAGCTAAAAACAGCAGTGTAACCAGAGGTAGCACAGACCATGCCCAGGCTAAACCCCCAAACATGTACTATGGGGGTCTGGGAGAGCCGTACTCAAGTGGCTAGTCCAAGTTGCTACTTGCACTGCTCTCAGTGACACTGCTATTGTAGCATGTTAACTCAAGCAGAGCGTGCATGTGTCTGTCTACCCATACTGGGAAGCAGGCAATGTAGATGTATCCCTTGGTTTGAGTAAGGCCAGGTCTATACTAGCCTTAGAAGGTCGGCTTAGGTATGCAATAACATAGCTGGAGTTGATGTACCTTAAGCCAAGTTTGGCACCATCTCCACTGCAGGAGTTTGACCATTTTCCTTACTCCTTGCGAAGCAAGGATTACCAGCGCCGACTGGGTCACCCTCAGCATTTGATTTAGCGGGTCCTTACTAGACCCGCTAAATCAAACACCAGAAGATTGATCTCTGGCATGGTAATTATAGAGGTGGCCGAAGTTAAGAGTTTGCTATTTGCTCCATAAGGTAAAAAAATTATTTGCAGCAGATGAGAAACCTGGCAAATGCTAAACAGAAACTCTTAAGGACATCTAGTACTATATTGTATAGGAATATATGTTCCAAAATTTGTCTAATATCTTATGCTTAGTTGATTTTTTTTACTACATTCTCAGAGGTGCAATTCACATACCAGCAAAGAGATCATTATGTTATATAATTCATTATGATTTACGTACTTGGATTTCCCTGGGAAACTGGCTCCAAGGATTTTGGATTCAATTCTTCCTTTGAACTGAAGCCTGGAGAAATTTTTAAAAAATTGTTTAGTCACTAAATGCACAAGAAACTATTCTGTGTCTGACCTCACTGATAGGAAGAAAGTACGGAGTAAACAGAGATGTCTCTGAAAGTGATTTGTGCTTCTTGTTATTTTGGTGAGGTGACATGTAAAACAATACACCCCTGAGGACTGGGGACATGTTGCTTGTCGTCTTCACTCCTGTTACTGATCAGAAAAGGAAAGAATAAGGAGGATCAGGTTATTGTAACTACACATTGGCCTTACTCCAGGGAGATGTCCACCTTCTCATCCTGAAATCTTCTAATCAGAGAAGAACTATTAAACCAGGGAGTTGGCTGTACTCATGTTTAAACTGATGAGAAGATTGCGAAGTCAGTAACATGTAAGGTTATTTCCAATTTTTTTATACAAGTAATCTAGGACTAAAAATGCTCCTAAAATCTGACATAAAGACATGGCGAAAAGACTGGGGAAAGGGTTGTTATAGTGTCCTGACCTGGACCTACAGATGAGTCAGAGCAGTGTCTCATCTAAAAGGTTTACTATTCAGCAGTCACATCTGATGGTGCAGATTTTTCTGAATTCCTGCCCCGAGCACAGTTCTGTTTTGTGGTTTTTGCTAGGGGTAGTAAATTTGGCTTTTCTGAGATGAAGTAAACAGGTGATCTGTTTATGACAAAAACACTTCTGGAATCTCTCTCTGACAAGGTGGGTTTTACCACCACACTCACATTTGCTCCAAATATTAATTCAAATCTGTATATTTCACTTCACTTTGCTGAAAACCACAGTGACCAAAGGAAGTGTTGATATACTGATTAGAGTTTAGAAAGGAAAAGAAATAGAAAGTAGAAGGTTGAATTAAGATACGCAACTCCAGCTAGGGTAATTATGTAGCTGGAGTCGACATATCTTAAATCATGTTTCTGCACCATCCACACAGTAGAAAGTTGACAGGAGCATACGCTCCTGTTGACTTTTCTTACTCTTCAATAGTAAGAAGTACTGGTGCTGATGGGGGCACCCTCTCAGTTCAATTTACTGGGTCTATACTAGGCCTGCTAAATCAAACTCTGGAAGATTGACTGCAGCTGCGGTGATGTTCTGCATAGTGTAGATGTGCCCTGACAGTTGATTCTCCATTGCCTTTTACTTTCATTTACTCCTTTTTTAACTGAATGCAAAGTGGGAGTACAATGCTACCATTTTGACTTAATGGCAGCTTGCACATCCTTTCCACTGATTTAAATGACTACCAAGGTTTCAAGGCAGTGGAGAGTCAGGCTGCTCATGTTCTGTTTTCCTATATGGAGAGGTGAGCAAGGACAAAGAGCATCCTATCACATAACTGGGAAGGGGAAGCAAGTCATTAATGAGGTCTTCAGTTTTTTTCTATGATGTTAGGTTCTTCTTTTTTGAGGAAAAGAGAAAAAAACAAAGCCTGATCCAAACCCCGTTACAATCAATGGAAAGAGTCAGGGAGCCAAAATACGAAATCTGAAAAGCAGCATCTAAGAGTCTGCTTCTCGCTTCATGTAACAAAATAAAATAGAGGTGTCCTAGAGAGGTCGTATTGGATCATAGAGTATTATAGGAGCAGCCTAGGGATGATTAAAAGAGTTCAACATGGCTTCAGTTCATGATTTAATGTCTGGCTAGCTTCTCCTAAGTTAAAGCAACTCCTGTCTGCTTAAGTGAAAGAAACAACTTTTTCCCACATGAATAGGCTAAAATCAGTCAGTTGGGGGCAATACTGCAAATAAAGGGAAAAAACTTACTGAGTAGGAGGATAATTATGTTTTGTTTATCAAAGAAATAGCAAACTGGTTGTTATGCTTGTCTATCACTGAAACAAGTAGTTGGAGAACGCCCACGAATCTTCATCAGTAGGCAAACGGAGGAAATGCTAGAGACTTCAAAAGGAAACCAGCAAGATCACGGGTGAGCAATAATTTTTGATGGGGGGACCACTCCATGATTTTGGTAAGCGGTCAGGAGATGCATTTTTTCTATGGGGAGGATGCAGGGTCTGGAACAGAGGTTGGTTGCAGAAGGTAGCTTGGGTTAGGAGACTGGGATGCAGGGTCTAGGATAGGGTAGGGATGCAGGAGAGGATTCTGGTCTGGGGGAGGGATGTAGGAGCAGCAGCAGGGTCTGGGAGGGAGTTGTGACCTGGGGCAGAGGGCTTGGGTGGTGCCCTGGGGTAGTGACCCGGGGAAGGGAATTGGAGTGTGGGAGTGGGTGGGGAGCCAGAAGCAGGCTTTGTTCAGGAGGCACTTACCTAGGTAGCTCCCAGCCAGCAGCCAGGCAGGATCCTAATACAGGCTCCCTGCCTGCCACAGCCCCAGGTTGCCCAAAAGGGCTGGCTACTCCCTATGGCTCTCTGCTCTGGGTGCGCATTGCTCCTTGCTCCAAACACAATTTTGTAGCTTATTGGCTGGAAATCTCCCTGCCCTTGGCGCTCAGAGCAGAGAACCACAGGGAGCAGCCAGCTGCTTAAAATGACATGGGGCTGCTCTGTGCCTGAGAGTCCTCCTCTTGCCCACCTCTGGGCAAGAAGGTAGCATTAAATGTCTGAATTAATTGTAGACAAAAACTGAGAAGTTATAAAGTACCTCAGAGTTCCTCTTTGCTGTAACGCATGTCAGTGTGAGAGAAGTACAGAGAGCAGATACCCAGGAATATCAGAGGAAGCAACATCTGAGCTCTGAAGGGACTTGGCAGTCACACAGCTTTGAATTCCAGAGCATGTAAGGGGAACTCTTTAGATACTAGTGATTAGATCATCTGGGAAGACAGACCCACGCCAAAAGGAAGAAAGAAGAACAGCGTGCTGTCGTTCCAGTCAAACTCCTGTTTCAATAATTTCTCATGGAATTCTAATAACTAATCTTCACACAGTGCTAGCTCCTAAAACCGTCAAGTGCCTGCACCCAAACAAACGTGGACATACCTTTGAGTCAGGAACCATTTTTTCGTTCTGTTGTGGAGACAGTGCCTAGCACAAGGGGGTTCTGACCTCTGGCTGGGGTGTCTTCATGCTCTCGTGTTACAAATAATCATTAACATGCACAGAAATAATAACGATTAGTCTTAGCTGAGAAAATGTGTCTCCGTTTTAAATCCATCTCCTGGCTAAGAAAGCAGCTTCCCACAGAGGAACTAAAATTACCAGACTGCTGCTGTCTCCACGTGGGCGCAGGTTGCAGGAGAAAGCGCAAAGATCATCCCCTCTTCCCTCATGGCCCTGTTGAGGAGCCTGCTGCGGCATGATGGGAAGCACAGCCATTTCCCTATGACACAGCCTGCAGCTGTGCTCGACTCTCCAGATGCGGCTGGGTAGAGGGCGTGGTGCCTCTCTGCCCAGGCTCACAGAGGACTACACATTTCATTTAAAGGATGACAAGGCTCCTGCTCTACATTCCTTGGGAATTGTAGAAGAGGTTCTGACTGAGTTAGCTGGGTTCCTCCTTAGGTCCTCTCTATTGCAAGAGGGCCTTTTCTACATGCGTAAAGCAAAAAGTAGCCATACAGGGACAGAGGCTTGCACCTCTCCTGTTCTGGGTCTGCTGGGAGCTGGTTAAATGCCCCACACAGCTCACAGTCTATCTTCACTTGCATCCTTATTGCAATGGTCCCACTATAGGCACACAGGGTATCTTGAGGGGGGGAGTGGGAGAGACTCTCCTATTGCTGAAACTCTGCCTCCCTGCCTTTTGACAGGACCATCTCTCAGACACAAAGCCTTCCTGAAACATAGACCAGCCCCCCAATGGCACTCGGTGAAGCCTGCCCTTGTACCAGAAACTCCCTCCTCTCCACCTCCCAAGTAGTCTTGAGAGCCAGCCTTTTGCCTTGTGAAATAAGAAGAGTCATGCCCAGCGCTTTGTTCTCGTGCTGTACTCTGACTGGCACTGTCCCGTTCAGTTGGAGCGTCTCTCTGGTGTGTGGTGTTGTTAATGCCTCTCGCCAGCCCTCCCATGCCAGACTTTAGAAGATGTGAATGAGAGGACAGCAGCCTGAGAGGAAAATGCTTTTGTTGGGAGACGCTCTACAACACGGTAGACCAGTCCCGTGACACCTTTTCTACAGTTACAGATGAACACGGCTCCCCTCTGGGACAGCAGACCAAGATAACTTAATAACAGAAACACAGCCCATCAACTCAAAACCCATACTGTGGCCTGCTTCCTGCCTGGGCTCCTTCTGGCTAACCACAGCTGTAGCAAGAGCACCACCAGACTAAAGAGGGAGAAATACTGGCAGGCCTCAGAAAGGTCAGGTTCTAAAATAAACCGATATCAAAGTGATATACTCCACTAGAGCCTCTTCTAGGCTGTAGGGGAACTCTCTGTAGTTTCTTAGGCCTCTTGCAGAGTGCCCTGGCAGCTGCATAGCTGAGCTGATTTTGCATGCTTGCCTGCACTTGTGCTGTTTTCACATTAGCAGGGATTGAGAGGGTCAAGGCAAAGTTACTGAAGAGCAAACCTGAGTCCTGTGCTATGCTGAATGTTTTCTGTTTTTCCCATCTATCGGAATTGCCCATTAGGCCCAGTCTACCCCTGCTGACATAGCAGCTACATCTCATGGAGGCAGGAGTTAGTAAGCCACTGGGAGAGCTTTCACCAGCAGTATTATGCAGTGCTACAGAGGTGCAGCTGCACCACTGTAGTTGCTGTAGTATAGACATAGCCATAGAAATAAACTTCCAAGTAACAGGGCAAGTGCGAAGGGCATTGTCATGTTTCCCTTGGGAGTGGTCTACAAATAATAAAAACCCAGTAGAATTCATGGCACCTTATTTAACTAGAGCAGGTGAGAGAAAAGAACAGCAGCTTTCCAGAGGGAAGAAATCAAAGGAGGTTATCGAGTCAATAACAAACTCTGGACTTAGACTGACGAGTGACTGGAAGTGAGAGTGTTTTGTACATTTCTCTGTGGGTCTTTGTTTGGCAGCTCTGTAGGAGCAGATGGAGGATTGGGCCAAGAACTGGGGGCTCTGAGCCACTGATGCCAAGGCAGACACAAAAGCCTATGGCTCAGCACATGGGCAGAAAGCAGCAAAGAGCTGAGCTATAAAGGACTGCCTAAAATGAAGGGAAGGGACAGCAGTGTTCAGTTCAAATCATGAGAGACCAAGAAGAAAGCATTCATGGGACAACAAAATGGGAATTTAGGTCAGAAAAGGCAGTTTGTGGCAGAGAATTCTGCAGAGGAGGGACTTCATTGTCTTGGGAGCAGAACTAACCTCTGAAAGGGTGAATGGGTATTTCCATTCTCACCCTCGCATATTGTTTTCAGGTGTTTAATCATTTGTTTTAAATGTTCAACTTTTGGGCTCCGAGTGTTCACTTTTAGTACCTTCCTGAAGAAAAATACTTTTTGAACATATGAGCAAAACTGCTTCTTTCATTGTATTTCACATAACACATTAAAAAATATTTATCCTCCTATAAAATAATATTTCACATAACACATAAAATATTTATCCTCCTATCCTCCTACAATCCTGGTTTGTGTGCAGCAGGTGGGGCACAGAAAGATAACATTAGGAATAGGAAGTACTCTTCATTGAGGAATTGTACCACTAAAGACTTTCTTGAAAACTGGCTATCCTTTGCCCAGGTTATGAGCCTGTGGAAACACTACTCTGATCTCTTCCTTTACATTGATCTCATGGAGGGCCAGGTTCTCCACTGCTGTGCTCCTTTCCGAGTCTCAAATCTGTGTTCAGTGAAAATAAAAAGCCCTTTTGAACTGGCAGTGCACCAGCTTTACACTTGCTTTGCCAAGGTGTAACTGAGTAACACAAAAGTGCAAACTGGGGTCCAAACATGCAAAAGCACAAATGCATACTTATCAGGTCCAGAGCTTCAATTTGTAAATTGTACTTACAAGTCATGAAACAACAAGAGTAAAGTTCCTTAACCTTCCCCTTGCCAGCCTGTGTGCATGCATTCCACTGCCATCTTCAAATACATAGCCATCTAATATAGCTCAAATAATATCACACTTTTTCTGTGTTCTTGGCCATATTAGTGTATTGTGCACCAATCATGTGTCATTGTGTAGGAAAGGCACTCAATACACCATACTTGCACAACTGAGTATAACATTACCCAGTAATTAATTATGAACATTTACCATCCTATCTACTACCAAACTTTGCAGCTAAGTCAGATTCATAGTTAAGTGCCTCATCGCTTGATCTGCACCTACACAAGGTTTTGTCCATCCTCCACGTGCGTGTTCAGCTCAGGTAGCTTTGTAGCTACCTACAATCCAAGCCTAGTCATGTGAATGTCATGTTTATGGAAGGCTGTGGGTCAGCTGACTGATTTATTTTCCAATACATTTATTTTAAAAATAATGCCACCTACAAAATATTTCTCTGTGCTAATTGGGGAGATAGTCAGTTCCTGTGGGCCTCCTAGTTCTACCAGCCCCCATTTAATTTTCTTATTTCCATGGGAATTTCAGCTTACTTTATGGGCAGCTCAAGCCATGCTAATTAGATTTTCCTTCACTGGATTGTCACATGCTCATTAAACTTCCATTCATTTACATAAGATAGCAGTTGGTCCATGCACGCCAGAAACTGTTCCTCTGAAGTGACACACTAAATTCGTCAGATTTTATCACTAGCCTACACGCACACTTGGGTTACAGAGAAAGCACAAAGAAGACTGCACCAATGTGTCTTCATCCAGTTTAAAGTCATCACTCATTTTGGTCTCCAAATATAAATCCTTCCCACTAGCCACTGTGCTGTAGCTCATTTCAAACAGACACACAGAACTTGCCTACGATATCCAATAAAATGTCTTCTCTTCAACTCAGCCTGCCCTCCGTGTCTCAGGGAAACCTGTTCATTTATACAATGCTACATAGGCTACATCTAGACTGCAAGCTTATTTTGAGAGAGAGCGTCTACACAGCAAAGCGCATTGAAAAAGCGATGTGCTTTTTCGAAAGACAGTATCCACATTGATTGGATGCTATCTTGCATTTAAGTTGGGATTAGTATGGACAGAATGGCCACCAGGGCACCTGTGTTATTTCCTGGAAGCCGCTTCTTTCGAAAGAACTCCCTCTTCTGTATCCACACACGCCTTTTTCCGAAAAAGCTTTTTCTGAAAAAGGCTTCTTCCTCATAGAATGATGTTTACCGCCGTGGGAAAAACCTCTCCGTTCTGTCGAAAGAATGCAATGGCAGTGTGGACGCAAGTAATGTTTTTCCGGAAAAATGCTGCAGTGTAGATACAGCCGTAGTTATGGATATAGAATCATCTCTTCTAACTCAGGTTCTGAGTTTTAATTCAAATATGTATGTGCTTTGCCACATATTGGAACTAATGCAAGTCTAATTCATATCTCGGCTCTGAAGTAATTTCAACTTTCAAGTGAAAACTCTTAAAAATTGGGCCCATCAAGACAGCTGCAAGCACAGTTTCACAAAGGGGAGATCAATGAAGCATAGAAGCTAGAGATGGAAAAATCGATTGGATCGTATGGTCCATCCCCATGCCAGTCCAGGACGGTTCCCCATTGTATCATCTAATATAACACCAGTTGTCTTGTCTATTTCCGATCATAAGATTTTAGAAGGGACTGTCATTTTTTAAATGTTTGGACAGCACCAAGCACAATGGGGCACTGGGCTGTTTGAACTGGAGGTACCACTGTAATAGAAAAGTTAAATGATAATTCCCATGGGACACTGTTCCATAACATCATAATTTTACTTTCAGGAGTTTTCCATGTGTTCAGTTTATATTTCTTTATAAGCTCTTGTGTACAATTTGACTGATCTCTTTCCTGTCCACAGCCTAACTCTCTACAGATTGTTACCATATCCCTGCATTTTCCAGGATATATATTAATCTTTTAGGCCCTTTTTTCCAGTAGCTAGAACCCCCTTTTGCAGAGTTGCTACTCTCTGTAGACGTCATTGGTTCTGTTCCTAGAATGGGGCTTGCTTGAGACTGATATGAGTATCGGGCCCACCAGAGCAGTTTCAAACTACCAGAGAGAAGCTGAAAGCCACATTTGTCATTGTGCATAATAATTCTTGTAAATGGAAGTTATTACCAAGGGCCTTCTTAAAAAGTGTAAGTTCCTCCCAAGGGTTTAGAAATGCTGGTTATTTCCAGTGTAGTTGCTGGTGGATCTGTTGTATTTTATTGCGTTAAATATTTACCTGTGTCAAAAAGGCTTGATTCAGATTTCCACGAGTCAGTTTCCATAGCTTTCATGCACAAAAAGAGAAGAGAAATTATTACTTAAAATCATGGCATTATGGGACGTTACAAACCACTTTGCACGCTTTAGAAGAGTTAATTTGTAGAACGAGTTGCAAAGAGTAGAATGAGGTTTTTTTTTTGAACGTGGAAACATTTATGAACATATTTCAAGCCCTTTTTAGTAGCCTCTTGTCTTCTGTCTCTACGTTAAGCACATCTCTTTAGGTCAGTTTTGTTTTTTTCATATTCACTTACATTAACATGGGGGCAAGGCTGGGCTTTAGCACTTTTTCTCAAAAAAGATATACTAGCATTAGAAAAGATTCAGAGAAGGGCAGCTAAAATGATTAGGGATTTGGAACGGGCTGCATATGAGAAGAGATTAAAGAAACTAGAACTTTTCAGCTTGGAAAAGAGGAGACTAAGGGGGAATATGATAAAGGTATATAAAATCATGAGTGGTGTGGAGAAAGTGAATAAGGAAATTTTATTTACTTGTTCACAAAATATAAGAACTAGGGTCCACCAAAAAAATTAATGGGCAGCAGGTTTAAAACAAATAAAAGAAAGTTCTTCACATAGTGCACAGTCAACCTGTGGAACTCCTTGCCTGAAGAGGTTATGAAGGCTAGGACTATAACAGGGTTTAAAAGAGAACTAGATAAATTCATGGAAGTTAAGAGCATTAATGGCTATTAGCCAGGATGGGTAAGGAGTGGTGTCCCTAGCCTCTGTTTGGCAGAAGGTAGAGATGGATGGCAAGAGAGATTGCTTGATCATTACCTATTTGGTTTACTCCCTCTGGGGCACCTGGCATTGGCCACTGTTGGCAGACAGTATACTGGGTTGGATGGACCTTTGATCTGACCCAGTGTGGCCATTCTTATGTTCTTTTAGCCAAGCTGGCAAAAATGTTGCACCAAACATGTCCCCCGCTACCTTCCAAAGTATATATTGACTTCTGTCCTAGCTCAACCCTTCCATAGCCAAAGAAAGATTAGCTTCCATAATTTGCCTAGTACTCTTGGAGTTTCTCTGGATATGCCCTGCTTGAGAGCTACTTCCACTCAGATGATAAGATGGTTTCAAGAACTTCACAGATCATTCCAAACCCCTATGGCAGTGGTCCTTCCCTTTTCCTTTGCAAACATTTTTTTCGTTAACAAGAGATAAATGACAAAAAATGAGTTGGCTGATTGCAAATGGGACAATCCTTAACTCTCAGAGAGAGCAGCAAGATGACAATAATGTCTTATTCTTTGAGATTATAAGAAAAGCTGAAGATGAAATTTACATCCCTGAGAGAGAGAAATCGAAATTCTTGAAAGGAGTCAGGATTTGTTACTTGTCATTTGTTACCCAGTATGTGCTGAACACGCTGTGGTGTATTGAAGACTTTGTTGAAATGTCAAGCTTTATTTTAAGAATTGTGGTGGGCATTTCCTTGATCTGACAGTAGGCGAGAGTTTTTCTATAGGAACGTGTGTGATGATAATCAGTCTAGAAAGAACCAGCGTAGAAGAAAGTGGGGTAAGTTGTGCCTCTTTGCATTATAAACCAACCTGCTTTCTCTCTTTCTGGGTTTCATTACTTTGTGTTGTTCAGGCATGGCACCACAATGTGCCATCATCTTTATGGCTGACCTTGAACAACGTTTCCTCAGCTCTTGCCCCCATAATACCCCTACTTTACTTATGCTACATCGATGACTTCTTCATTATATGGACCCACGGAAAACAGATGCAAGGATTGCAACAACTTCCACCCCACCATCAACCGCAGCCTGGACCAGTCTACATGAGAAATCCACTTCATGGACACTACAGTACAGTTAAATAATGGACAAATTTCTACCACTCTATAGTGGAAACCCACCGACTGCTACACTTACCTTCATACATCCAGCTTCCCAGACACATTTCTCAGTCTATTGTCCACAGCCAAGCCCTAAGATACAACCAGATTTGCTCCGACCCCACAGACAGACAATCAGGATCTTTACAGATCATTCCTAAAACTGAAATACCCACTTAGAGAAGTGAAAAAAACAAATTGACAGAGCCAAAAAAGTACCCAGACATGAACTACTCCAAGACAGACCCAAAAGAAAAAATAACAGAACTCCTCTTGTTGTTATCTACAGTCCACAACTCAGAACTTTCCAGCACACTATTCACAATCTATAACTCATCTTGGAAAATGATTCCTCACTCTGAGGCCTTGGGAGAAAAGCCTGTTCTCGCTTACAGACAACCTCAACCTGAAACAAATTATTTCTGTTAATCATGCCACACAACCACATCATAAGCCTCCAGGAACCCAGCCCTACAACCAAAACCGATGCCAACTCTGCCCACATATCTATACTAGTGAATTCATCACTGGAGCCAACAACATATGCCACCAAATCAAAAGTTCATTTGACTGCATATCCTGTAATTTGATCTATGCCATCAAATGCCAGCAGTGCCCCACTGCTATATGTATTGGACAAACTGGACAGTCTCTATGGGAATGAAATACAAGACTATGTAGCACTTTAAAGACTAACAAGATGGTTTATTAGATGATGAGCTTTTGTGGGCTAGACCCACTTCCTCAGATCAAATAGTGGAAGAAAATAGTCACAACCATATATACCAAAGGATAAAATTTTAAAAAAATGAACACATGATTTGTCCTTTTCATATGTGTTCATTTTTTTTTAATTGTATCCTTTGGTATATATGGTTGTGACTATTTTCTTCCACTATCAGATCAAAGGAAGTGGGTCTGGCCCACGAAAACTCATCACCTAATAAACCATCTTGCTAGTCTTTAAAGTGCTACATAGTCCTGTATTTTGTTTCAGCTACACCAGACTAACACGGCTACATTTCTATCACTATTCTATGGGAATGGACACAAATCAGATATACATAAAGGAAACATACAGAAACCTGTTGGGGGGCACTTCAATCTTCCACATCACTCTTTAAAAGATCTCCAGATAGCTGTCTTGTCACAAGCCAGATCAACAGGGAAACATTGGAATTACAATTCATTCACAAATTCAATTCACATGCTAATGGACTCAATCGTGATGAAAGCTGGTTGGGACACTACCAACTTAACAGCCATTGAAGGTGCAAACAGCTCAGAAGGGTACTATCTATTAACTTTGATTCTTATCTGCTTCATATTAACTACCCAATCTTCAGATACTTACTGATTCCCTCTGCTCTCTGACTCCCACCTCCTCTTCGCCCTGCCCCCGCTTCCTTTCCCCCCCCCTCACACCTCCTCTTCCCCTTTCTATTTATTTTGGTTGTTCACATCCTAAACTCATAACTCTGGTCATCTGAAGAAGTGGGCTGTGTCCATGAAAGCTCATGATACCATCTACATGTTTTGTTAGTCTATAAAGTGCTACCAGACCATTTGTTGTTTTTTTTTCCCCTGTAACAGACTAACTTGGCTACCCCCTGAAGCAACAAAAGTAGTGTTACACTGCAACCTTCCCAGAAGAGTATTTGATGTTTTCATCTACATTCTCTGTGTGTATTCCATGAACATAACACAACCTACCCATGAATGATCAAGTAGGTGTGAACTCTCAGTTTGCTGACTTCTGGAATGGAGCAACATTAAAACTTTTGAGTACTGAGTATTTTATAAACAGTTTGGTGGTGGTGGTGATGGGTTATGGCTTTTTTTTTTTTTTTTTTTGGTTTTGGTTTTGAAACCCAAGTTAAATTGTTGAGAGTGTGGAGAGCTGCAAGAAGAGTTTGTTCATTATCAGTTGCTTGTGGGAGATGAAATTCCTGAAGAAGTGAAGGAAGAAATTTGGCAAGAAAATGGATTTATCTGGATGGACCTCAGCTTAAACAGGTGTGACTAGGGCAATGATAAAAAATTCCTCAAACATCAGGCCAAGCCTGCAAAACTGATCCTAGTTGTTCCACAAGAAGTGTGTGTTCTCCTTGTGTGATTAAGAAAAACAAAATTTCCTTCCAAGAGAGCATGGAGTGGGCCAATAACTTCCCTTCAGTCATGTGCTGAAGTTGGCTGGCAGCAACGCTTTTGAGATACCAAAACTAGTGTTGAAAACAGACTTAGATGAAGGCTTGTTGGGAATCACTCCATCAAAGACTGATTTTTCCCCTCTTTGGTTTCCTTATGATTAAAACAACATCATCATTCATGATATGGAACTTCTGTTTTGTAAGTACCTTGGAGAAACATTAGGGTGTTTGAACAAAATATTAGGAGCACTAAAATAACACAACAAAACCATCTTGGCATCGTTCTCCCTCCTTCTTAGGGGCAGATTCTCTCAGACTGAAACACCTGCAGCTCCTTCAGTCCCATAGCAAGACTCCTACCAGCTTTAATTCAGCTCCTTTAAGCCGAACTTTCCCCCCTTATGGTGTCACGTGCATGAGGAATCAGAGAATCGGCACAGCTGGGGGTGGCATCCCCAGAGAGAGCTCATTTGCACTAAAAGTGTGTGCAGGCAGGTAACTGGGGGCTGGTGCCTGCATCTTCTCCATGCCTCACTTGCGTGCACAGGCAAGAACTGCTTTTTGGCATTGATGAGAGAGGATCAGGGAAGAACAAAAAGCAGTGAGAGGGTCAACAAAAGGCTGAGGAATATCTGTGATGGAGAGACGCATAAGCATGGTGGGAGGGGGCATGACAGGGTAAGAGCTAGGCAGAGGAGAAGAGGAAATCTGAAGCAAGAAAAGGTGCATGAGATATTTGATCTCTTTGACATTCAATTTCAGTATCCACAGGGAAAATTGCTAACGTCATAGGAGACGTTACAACTTTACACGCGAGCACATGGTTCACTGAGCTCGTGCTTTTTCACATTCATAAATATGGCAGCATGACGTAACAGCTGCTCAGTGGATATAAACCGGTAAGTGTCCCAAAGGAGCACCATGAACCTCGCAGGAAAGGTAATTTACTCCTGTATATATCCCGAATGGCAACCATTTTAAAATGAAAGGGAAATGAGGGGACTTTAGGCAATTCCTAACAGGAGAGCTTACCAAGATGAACTGGAGACCCAGCCGGTTTCCGGAAGGCCGCAACAGACTCTTGGTGTTGAATACCTGTGGGATTTGGCACAAGCATCAGCTTCAGTTGGTTAGTATAGAGGAATGTGATTATAGGGTGTACAATGGACCTGAAAATAATACTCACTCATTTCTTTTAAAGGCAAGGGAAAAGGGAAAAAAAAAAAAAAAAAAAAGGAAGTAGTACCCTTAAAGCAGGGCTGGGAACCTAAGGCCTGGGGAACAGATGCAGCCCCCAGTTTGCCATTGATCACTACCCATTGGGCCTGACAGTCTAGCCAGCTTTTTAGCCGTCTTATAGTCCATTTATCCAATCCATACTTCCTTGACTTGCTAGCAAGAATATTATGGGAGACCATATCAAAAGCTTTGCTAAAGTCAAGGTATATCACCCCCACTGACTTCCACATGTCCACAGAGCCAGTTACCTCATCATAGAAGCTAATCAGGTTGGTCAGGCATGACATGCCCTTGGTGAATTCATGTTGACTATTCCTGATCACTTTCTCCTCTTCCAAATGCTTCCAAATGGATTCCTTGAGGATTCCCTCCATGATTTTTCTGGGGACTGAGGTAAGGCTGATTGGTCTGTAGTTCCCTAGATTGTCCTTCTTCCCTTTTTTAAAGATGGGACCTACAACTGTCTTTTTCCAATCATCTGGGACCTTTCCTGATCTCCACAAGTTTTCAGAGATAATGGCCACAGGCTTTGCGATGATATCTGCCAACTCCCTTAGCACCCTCAGATACATTAAATCCAGCCCATAACTAGCTTTTCTAAATAGTTCTTAACCTGTTCTTTCTTCACTGAGGATTGCCCACTTCCTTCCCATAGGCTATGTCTAGCGCTGGGGTTTTTACACAAAAACAAGCAGTGTGGACGTTTTCTTTTTACACAAAATCCCCCTTTTTCCACAAGATCGGTAAGAGAAGATGTCCACACTGCTTGTTTTTGTGCAAAAACACAGGACAAAATTGGAGTAGTAGGAAATATGCAAATGAGATCGTGACTTGCAAATGAATCCCACATTTGCATATTTTTTGCCAAGAAAACTCATAGGGTACGTCTAGACTACATGCCTCTGTCGTCAGAGGCATGTAGATTAGGCTACCAAACATAGGAAAATGAAGCGGCGATTTAAATACTCGCCGCTTCATTTAAATTTACATGGCTGCCACGCTGAGCCGACAAACAGCTGATCAGCTGTTTGTCGGCTCAGCGTGGCAGCCATGTAAATTTAAATGAAGCGGCGAGTATTTAAATCGCCGCTTCATTTTCCTATGTTTGGTAGCCTAATCTACATGCCTCTGACGACAGAGGCATGTAGTCTAGACGTACCCTATGAGTTTTCTTGGCAAAAAATATGCAAATGTGGGATTCATTTGCAAGTCACGATCTCATTTGCATATTTCCTACTACTCCAATTTTGTCCTGTGTTTTTGCACAAAAACAAGCAGTGTGGACATCTTCTCTTACCGATCTTGTGGAAAAAGGGGGATTTTGTGTAAAAAGAAAACGTCCACACTGCTTGTTTTTGTGTAAAAACCCCAGCGCAAAAATGGATCGGCAGAAAATATGCAAATGAGATGAGTTTTTCCAAGAAAACTCATCATGTAGACATAGCCATACTGTGTTGCCTAGTGTAGTAGTCTGGCAGCTGACCTTGTTTGTGAAGACAGAGGCAAAAAAAGCATTAAGTACTTCAGCTTTTCCCACATCATCTGTCACTAGGATACCTCCCCCATCCCATGTCCTCCCTGATCACCCTCTTATTGCTAAAATGTCTGTTAGTATTGCAGGCTGCTGTAAAAGAGCTTAGAAGATGAAACAATATTGTGTTATTTAACATGCAGTAGATGCAAATGGTATAATTTGCCAGAAAGAAACATTTGAAAAGTTACTTAAAGCTGTTACCTGTATTGGCTCGAGGAATATTTCTGTTACTAGCATGGGTTGAAGTACTCCTGAATGCTTTAAAAACATTTTATTGGTCAATACACCGAATTTAAATATAATTGCTTTTATTATTTTAATTATAATATCTCCTAAATCTGTACTGGTTTAAGGACATACCTTGATTCTGGCCTCTTCCTTGTACAGCCTGGATCTGCCCTAAGTAGGCATTAAAACAGAACAATGTCATTTAGGTTATGTTTAGTTCAAGGCTGTTATTATCTGGCATTTTCTCAGACTTTTCATTTTGCATTTGTCAGAGTTAATGATGTGTGTATGGAATTTTCCTTACACTGCAGCAATGTGCTTGTGCTTATTGTATTTAAGTTGTTTCATTTTGGGGGCAATGTAAAAATATATATCATTTTGGGGTTTTTTTTTTGTTTCTGCTGACGTTAGTTAACATTTGCCACTTTACATCTAGTCCTGGTGACTTGTTACTGTTATCAATTTGTTGCAAAACCTCCTCTAATGCTCAGAGCCATTGGTGATGGACAGGTTATAAATCCATAAGTAAAGTAAGAGACTGGGATTGCACCCAAGCAGGCATTGCACCAGCCCCAGCCGAGTAAGGGTTGGGGTAGATTGATGATCCAGTGCCTATCCCTCATCCTTCACTTGCAGTAACCAGACTTTTGATGTCCAGTCAGTAAACCTGAGTGGAGACTTCCAGGCCCTGTTTTTTTACCAGACTTTGTGGGCAAAACCAGGCACCCAGCAACCCTGCTTCTCATGCCTAAATCATGTGCAAGATTGGGCTTATAGTGATGCAGGTCTATCACTGCTTTTTTTTTGCCTGATTCTGTGGGATCTACCAAGACAATCAATGTTTAGGTGTAAAATCAGGGGAGGGGATTACATTGAGATTTTATTAATTCATATTTTCTGAAAAGGAAAACAAGGCAAAAACAGAAGAAGAAAAAAGGAAGACTATAAGGAAGGAAGCACAAATACAAGAACTGTTAGGGGCAGCACAAAGTATTTTCCTCTGAGAGACTCCAAGCCATAAATCAACTTCTGGTTTAACCCCGTAAACTTTTCCTAATACCAGTGGTTGGTAGTGGCAACACATCTTGTCTTATAGATGCAGCCATAGTGGTAATCCTTTGAATGGCACTGTGTTCTGAGGGCGTTTACACTGGAGGTGCCGTTTGAAAGCAAGTTACCAATGTACCACAACGGTCAGATGTGAGTCTCCATTCGCCCGGGCAAACAAGAGAGAGTTTGATTCCTTCGCCTGTTTCTACAGGATCCCACTGTTTGAAATTTTGGACCAGACAGATTTTGGTGTGGAGCTGGGTGTCCTTGAAAGCTCCAGCCTGCTGCTCAGAAAAGAGCACTGAATGCATGAAGAGCTGAAGCATCCGAGGGAATCTCTGATGACCAGATAAAAATGAAGGCTTTTTTTATTAAATCCTTGGCAAGGGTTGGGTTTTCTTTTAAATGGAGTATCTGGAATCCAGAAGACGTAACCATGATGCAGTATGTCACAGTTGGTGTATAAATACAGGCAGTCCCCGGGTTACATGGATCCGACTTACATCGGATCCCTACTTACAAACGGGGTGAGGCAACCCCGCACTAGCTGCTTCCCCCCAGCAGACCAGGGAGATGCGAAGCTAGCGCCCCCCCCGCCCCCAGCAAACCAGGGAGACGCGGAGCGGCTTTTCTCAGCAGACACCTCAGCTTGAGAATAAAGGACTGAGGGAAGTGAGGTGTGGGAGAATAAAACTGAGCTCTGGAGAAATGTTTGGCTAGAGTTTCCCCTACAATATGTACCAGTTCCGACTTACATACAAATTCAACTTAAGAACAAACCTACAGTCCCTATCTTGTACATAACCCGGGGACTGCCTGTACAGTATTTGGCAAGGTCCTAAAAATCATATTGACATGTTTGGTCCCAACTTATTCCTGAGAGCAAGCTATCTCCCCTGGACCTCAGAATTACTGAAGTACTGTTCCACACCCTGGTCCCTTATAATCATTCTGCATGCATGGCCTTTCTCCTCTTTTGGGACAAGACTCACATTATATCTCCAGAGAGGGAGATTCCACCACCTCCCTTGGCAATTTATTCCAATATTTGACCACCCTGACAGTTAGGAATTTTTTCCTAATGTCCAATCTAAACCTCCCCTGCTGCACTTTAAGCCCATTACTCCTTGTCCTGTCCTCAGAAACCAAGAGGAACAAATTTTCTCCTTCCTCCTTGTGACACCCTTTTAGATATTTGAAAACCGCTATCATGTCCCCCCTTAATCTTCTTTTTTCCAAACTAAACAAGCCCAGTTCATGAAGCCTGGCTTCATAGGTCATGTTCTCTAAACCTTTAATCATTCTTGTTGCTCTTCTCTGTACCCTTTCCAATTTCTCCACATCTTTCTTGAAATGTGGCGCCCAGAACTGGACACAGTACTCCAGCTGAGGCCTAACTAGTGCAGAGTAGAGCGGCAGAATGACTTCACGAGTTTTGCTTACAACACACCTGTTGATACAACCTAGAATCATATTTGCTTTTTTTGCAACAGCATCACACTGTTGACTCATATTCAACTTGTGGTCCACTATGACCCCTAGATCCCTTTCTGCCATGCTCCTTCCTAGACAGTCGCTTCCCATCTTGTATGTATGGAACTGATTGTTCCTTCCTAAGTGGAGCACTTTGCATTTCTCTTTATTAAACCTCATCCTGTTTACCTCTGACCATTTCTCTAACTTGCTAAGGTCATTTTGAATTATGTCCCTATCCTCCAAAGAAGTTGCAACCCCACCCAGTTTGGTATCATCTGCAAACTTAATAAGCGTACTCTCTATCCCAATATCTACATCATTGATGAAGATATTGAATAGTACGGGTCCCAAAACAGACCCTTGAGGAACTCCACTTGTTATCCCTTTCCAGCAGGATTTAGAACCGTTAACAACAACTCTCTGACTACGGTTATCCAGCCAATTATGCACCCACCTTATCGTGGCCCTATCTAAGTTATATTTGCCTAGTTTATCAATAAGAATATCATGCGAGACCGTATCAAATGCCTTACTAAAGTCTAGGTATATGACATCCACCGCTTCTCCCTTATCCACAAGGCTCGTTATCTTATCAAAGAAAGCTATCAGATTAGTTTGGCATGACTTGTTCTTCACAAACCCATGCTGGCTATTCCCTATCACTTTATTACCTTCCAAGTGTTTGCATATGATTTCCTTAATTACCTGCTCCATTATCTTCCCTGGGACAGACGTTAAACTGACCGGTCTGTAGTTTCCTGGGTTGTTCTTATTCCCCTTTTTATAGATGGGCACAATATTTGCCCTTTTCCAGTCTTCTGGAATCTCCCCTGTCTGCCATGATTTTTCAAAGATCATAGCTAAAGGCTCAGATACCTCCTCTATCAGCTCCTTGAGTATCCTGGGATGCATTTCATCAGGACCTGGTGACTTGCTGACATCTAACTTTCCTAAGTGATTTTTAACTTGTTCTTTGTGTATCCTATCTTCTAAACTTACCCTCTCTCTGCTTGTATTCACTACGTTAGGCACACCTCCAGACTTCTCGGTGAAGACCGAAACAAAGAAGTCATTGAGCATCTCCGCCATTTCCAAGTTCCCTGTTACTGCTTCTCCCTCCTCGCTAAGCAGTGGGCCTACCCTGTCCTTGGTCTTCCTCTTGCTTTTAATGTATTTATAAAAGGTCTTCTTGTTTCCCTTTATGCCTGTAGCTAGTTTGATCTCATTTTGTGCCTTTGCCTTTCTAATCTTGCCCCTGCATTCCCGTGTTGCTTGCCTATATTCATCCTTTGTTATTTGTCCTAGTTTCCATTTTTTATATGACTCCTTTTTTATTTTGAGATTGTGCAAGATCTCCTTGTTAAGCCAAGCTGGTCTTTTGCCATATTTTCTATCTTTCCTACACAGCGGAATTGTTTGCTTTTGGGCCCTTAACAACGTCCCTTTGAAATACTTCCAACTCTCCTCAGTTGTTTTTCCCTTCAGTCTTGCTTCCCATGGGACCTTACCTACAAGTTCTCTGAGCTTATCAAAATCTGCCTTCCTGAAATCCATAACCTCAATACATTTAAGATGAAATCTTAGATTTAAAATGCTATTAAGAGTCTAGTCAAAGACAAATAAAAAGCATATACATTTTACCTTTTAAAGTCTCAGGATGAAATCCTGGCCTGACTGACATACATGACACAACTCACATTGATTTGAATGGGGATAGGATTTCATCCTTTATCTATGTGCCTTTACTTATTTGGGATCTTAGAGACATTTAATTATCTTTTAAAAGAAAACATGGCCTAAGTTGTGTCCTGTCCTGCAGGAAAGGAAGTAGCACAAGGGGCTAGTTTTACTTAAGAAATTTAGAGGCCTAAAGATAAATTCACATACTAGAGTAATTTATAAATGGGCCTAAAAGGACCGAAACACCTAATTCCAAGGTCATTTGATTTGGCGCTTTTGAAAATCCCACTAGACCCCGTTCTGTATCTTAGCACACCTAAATACATTTGTAATTCTGTCCCTAAGAGACGACAGCTCAGATCGTCAATGAAATCAATGAGAATGAGACATCACAATATGTTTTGAGAATCTGGACCTAAGGATCTCGTTCCATGTTTGTGAAGGGCAAAAAGAGGAATACAACTGGAGAGCATAGGCACTGTTCAAGGCCACCGGAAAGCAGGTGCCCAAAGGGGGAATTAAGAGGTGAGGTGAAGGTGAAACTGTAGAGGCCCAGAAGAGAATCCCTGGCATAGAAGAGAATGAAAAGCCAGAGTTCCATAAAGGTCTTTCCCTGCAGTGCATCTCCTCACCATGACAATCTACCCTAGCAATGAACACTGGCACATTAGAAGAAAGGCCTCAAGAATACAAAGTCATTTATCTTTTTCCTATTTTTTCTCCCGCCAGGCTTTAAAGTATTCCTTGGTGTTGAGATATTATAGTAAGATTCACAACATAATTGAATGTATCTTGCTCTCAGTACTTAATAGCTAGCAGATAACCATTGCATCCCTGTGATACGGTTCTGAATCAACTACTCTTCATTTCAAAGGAGCTTATTTCAGAAGACAAAACATCCCAATGTTGCATTCAGATACATGAACACCATTCCCATTGGCTTTGGTCAGTGATAGCTGTACCTGCGTACATCTGAGCAGAATGGATGAACCAGGTGTTCAGAAAGGGTGGCAGATGTAACAGCAAAGCACAGCCCATGTTTCTTTTCTTTCAGTAGAAGACAAATTTCAGTGCTCAGCCTGGAGAAACTTGCTAGCATTTGAACGTGCCTTTCTTTTTCTTCGCAGCTGAGTAATTAAATACCGCAGGCTGCTTCAAATATTTGTATTAGAGTTTGTGGGGTAGAACAGAAGCAGGTTTCTGGATCAAGATGAAGGAGGAACTTTGACTAAACATGATGCTGTTGTCAATAACGCTAATGCAAAGCCAGGAAAAACATCATATTAATGCCAGACTCTGAGACTTGGTCTGAGGTTTTCCAAAGAGCATTGGCCTAACTTAAGTCAGTGTTTTAAAGCTTTCACCTCTCACTGAGTACGTTTAAATACTCTACAGTCCGAATTACATATGTCATAGAAAGACCAACATTTTGTTTTTGGAGGAGGGATGTAAAACAGAGGGATCAACATGAAAATATGCATCAAGAAGTTCAGAATTGAGGTGCTAGAAGACAGAGAACCCATAATTTACTAACACCGACACTTCCGAACAAGTAGCCCAGGTTAGCCCCCTAGGTAACAGTGGTTCATTTTCAGAGATGCTGAACACCAGAATCTCCCACTTGTATTGTGGTTGCTCAGCATCTCTGTGAATTAGGCTATGTGTTTACTTTCATGTTTGATCACAGATGTAGATGATTCATTTCAGGCCCTCACATTTGGGAATCCCTTCCCAGGTTTGTGCAGGATTTTCTCAAGTTCCGCTTTAAAAACTGGGGTGAAATCCTGGCCATCCTGAAGTCAAGGAGAGTTTTGCCATTGGCTTCACTGGGCCAGACTTTCATTCCATACCTGTTACTCTCAGCCCTAATGCTACTGCAACACTGCTGCTTTGATGTACACTTTATCCACTCCTCACAGCCATGAGCTGCAGCACTGTACTTACTTGACGCTGCAGCTGCCGCAGCTGAGTAAACTGGATGGATGCTGCTAGGACCTAGGCAGAAAAAAAAAACCCACCGCAGTTTCTAACTTTAAAATATGTTAAACAATAGCAACAATGTACATGCTTCTTAATGAATGAAAGGGAGGGGAGTGGGAGGATCAGGGAGCATCAGGTGAGCAAAGTCCATAGGAGAGAGCTCTTTTGTAGGGTCCAATTAGGACCGGAGGGAAAGTAATTGCAAAAAAAAAAAAAATTGTTTTGAGTGATATTTGAAAGTTATCATGAAATTAACCAAATGATTCTCAAATCTGTGTGTTGAATTATCAGCCCATCTGCATAGCCGGTCAAAACATTCTAAAGAATATTTGTTGAATAATACATTTGAAAATCATCATGATTTTATTGTGGACTGGAGAAGGTCCTAACTCAGGAGGAACAATGCAATTCAGATGTACGTCTTTATCTATATGAAAGTGGTATCCCTAAGTAGCACACAGATTGAAGTGAGCACATAATGACTCATATGAATATACCCACTTTTACCTACTACAGTCTATCCTTACATAAAATGAAGTTCATGTTCATGAAACACATATTATCTTCCAAGATAGGCTTTGTAATCACATGTAAATCAATATTAGCCTTATACCACATGAATTCCACCCCTCCTTTCTGCTGATTCTTTTATACATTATGAATATTCCTACATTGTATTCTTGAATACATTTTGATGGTTTACTAAACAAGGGCTAATATTAATTATCATTATTTATTAGGAAAGGTGCAGGTCAACAAGAGAGTAAAAATCCCTGCTTTGGCTCTACTGACCTATGTCCCGGACCTTATGCATCGCATGTCGAGGTTTGGCAGTGGTGATAGCAGTTGTGATGCTGGTTGTTGCAAGGATTGTAGTTGGCTTTGGTGTTGCGCTGATGGGTTCTGGAGTCATGGTGAACTTCAGAGTTGTGGTTGGAACTTGTGTGGTGGGAACCGCTCCTGGAGATGTCTGATATTCTTTGCGGAGTGTATCAGCTATAAGAAAGTTTATAATGTAATTAGATGCGACAGATATAAAAACATCATAAACGGTGTCAACTTGTATAAAATGAGCAACAAAGTAGTCCAAGTTCATTCTGGCTATATTCCTGAAAATGCTTTTAAGCACCAAACCTATTAATATGCTGTTTATCCACTGCTGTATGTATCTATAGGATATGTCTTGATGTGGCATAGTACTGTACCATCTTGCTGAAAGCAATTACAAATAATTAATTTGGAGCTTTCATGCCTTTGATTCTCCCCTATAGTTTCTCCATTTTTACAAGAGAATCTTGGATCCTAACAAGTATATCAAAAACACAATGCTCTTGATAGTGCTGATTTGCAGACAATTTCTATTGTTCTGGCCTGGTTTCCTCTACATAATAAGGCAACTAGAAACTCTATAAAAAACCAACAACTTAAAAAACAACAAATACTCCAGTAGCACCTTAAAGACAAACAAAACATGTACAGGCAGTCCCCGGGTTACGTACAAGATAGGGTCTGTAGGTTTGTTCTTAAGTTGAATCTGTATGTAAGTCAGAACTGGCGTCCAGATTCAGCCGCTGCTGAAACTGATCAGTTTCAACAGCGGCTGACTCTATAAAAAACCAACAACTTAAAAAACAACAAATACTCCAGTAGCACCTTAAAGACAAACAAAACATGTACAGGCAGTCCCCGGGTTACGTACAAGATAGGGTCTGTAGGTTTGTTCTTAAGTTGAATCTGTATGTAAGTCAGAACTGGCGTCCAGATTCAGCCGCTGCTGAAACTGATCAGTTTCAACAGCGGCTGA